AAGAAGAAGAAGAAGAAGAAGAAGAAGAAGAAGAAGAAGAAGAAGAAGAAGAAAACACATTTCCAACAGCGGTACCTTCAGAAGGCCGAGAACGTTGAGTCTGTCCGCGGTGACGATGACCGATTCGATGTTGCCCGAACTTAGGTCTGCTTTGTGTGTGTAGGCGTACTGGACCACTGCCTGGACGCAAATAATCAGATTGTTCCTGTCCCAAACAATCCACTTACGTCCAAATTTTGAGAATTTTCGATTTTTACACCTCCCTAAAGCTCTATCAGAGATGCACCCTTTTCAGCATCACCAAACTGCATTTTTATGTTATGTTCAAGGCTTAGTTTAGTTTTTAGTTTTAGTAAGAGTTTTAAGGCACTTGCAACGCAATATTCAAGGCTTATGTAAGTTTCTTGCTTTTCATGATTCCTAATAGTAACAACAAACACAAAACGAACTACTATTTTTTTGTTCTTGTCGTAAAAAGTACTCAAACGGAACCAAGCGTATTGCTTGTGACAGCTACAAAATACATTGTACTGGGTCACACTCGTTTTAAATAAAGAGAAGCACAATGGCAGGATATCAGCCATTTTGCTAGTTTGAGTAAAGGGGAACGTATCGATAACATAACAGCCGTTTTATGCCAAAAAAAAAGAGAAAAAAAGGGGGGGGGGGGAGAGCAAAACAAACAGAAAGAAGCAAGAAAGGAAAAGGAAAGAAGGAGGACAGTCGTTTGTTTGAGTAAAGTTAGGTGCACAGACATAATAGTGGTAATTCAGTGCTGCGAAAAGCAATACAAATAAAAGGCATAGACAACAGAGGAGGGAAGGAATAGAAGTAAGATCTACCAGTGGCGCCCTCCAGCGAGTTACCCACGAGTTGTGTTACTTTCGTCGAAGCAATTCGACAACGCCCACATTTCACTAAACATAGAAGCATAGGAAAGTAAGAGACTGAAGGCTACAGGGCTCCAACCCCTCCCAACCCCCCCCCCCCAAAAAAAAAACACAACAAAAAACAAAACAAACAAACAACAACAACAACCCCAAACCAAAACAACAACAACAAACAAAATCAACCAATCAACCTCCCAACCAACCAAACAAACCCCAGAGCGCCAGCCAACTAGGCCTACCACCAAATTGGTATGAAAACGATCCTATTTGGCCAATAATAGGGCAGAGAGGCTGCTGAAATTTTACAAATTGAGATGCAGTATTAACAGGAAAGAAAGATCAGACTTAGTGGTCCCACATTTTCGGACTGTGTTGTTTTTGTCTGTCTGTCAAAGACTGAGAGCGCTTTCTGTGCTTACATTATTATGCTTGTTTATGTATATAAAGGACAGAAAACATACACACGGTAGCAATGGTTGTATGATTCAAACTGAAATGTTTACTCCCAGTACTCTTTAGTACTGAATAGGAAATTAACTCATTTTATTCTTAGAAATCACCCCCCCCCTTTCCCCCCCTTTTTTCTAAGCCCCCTACCCCTTTCCCGCCAACAACAAACAAACATATAAGAAAACTCAAACAAGCATAGACAGAAGCAAAGCTAAAAGAAACCATTTTATGCTGTGGTGCCTCCTACCTCCATGTCAGAATACGTCAATCCTGGAATCTCCACCTCTATGTGCCCCGACGTTGTCATGTTGAAGGTGAACAGAGTACGGAAATACTGGCTGCAACTGGACACGACACAGAAAAAAGAAAGAAAACGGCCTCTATATAATTTGAACATTATTCGCGACATTTATTTATAAAGCAAAGGATCTGTGTTGCGTTCTAAGTGAAGTATTCTTTTCGTGCTTCTGTTACCGTTAAATAGATAGATAGATATATAGATAGATAGATAGATAGATAGATAGATAGATAGATAGATAGATAGATAGAGAGAGAGAGAGAGAGAGAAAGAGAGAGAGACACAGAGAGAGAGAGAGAGAGAGAGAGAGAGAGAGAGAGAGAGAGAGAGAGAGAGAGAGAGAGAGAGAGAGAGAGAGAGAGAGAGAAAGAGAAATTCTGCTTCAACATAATGATAACTATATGGAATAAAGGGAAAAAAATCAAGAGCACTGACAGAGATGAGAGTTGAATAGGAAAGAACCTACTAATGGCCTCTTGAACATTTCCCAGCACTCCTCCCCCCCCCCCCCTCAAGTAACAACACAAACAACTAGCAAACAAAAGTGCCGCAATTAGAAACCTAAAGAACAAGGCTAAGACCGAATATAACTTCGAATCCAGTCACGTTTTTTAAAAATCATAGCCTAAAATAAAAGTAACAAAAACGTTGGACATGGCACCTGTTCGCCGAGTTGTGAGTCAGAGAGTAGTACAATGAACCGATCACTTTTATAATTATAAAGTGAACGAAATGGTGCTGATTTATTATCCCTTTCAAGAGTACATAACTATGAGGTATCAAAATCTTATATGATATCAGCTAACCTAATGGTCAAATCTCCACAGAGATGTGAAGACGAAAATGACACCAACAGAAAAAAGGTCATAAACTTTCTGTTTTCACAAATTAGTTTGTGGCAAAGACGCGGCTCCGTACCTTAAGAAAGGAGCCTTAAATCCAAGCTCCTGCCGGCTAAATCCAAACCACACAGAAGAGCAAAGAGAATAAATTTAATTACTTTGATGATTCACCTCTCCTGCTGCTGTTTATTTGGACAGCTCACTCTGTTAACGACTGGAGGCGACGAAAACGATGGGTTTCAACTCACAAACCTGGCTAGAATGTTCCTGTGAACATGCATCTTCCTTCCGTCCTGAGGAAAAACCATTGTGACGTCACAGAAGAGGCCCTTCGAGCGGAGGTCTTCCAGTTGGGGCCCCAGCTCTCTCCTGAAGTCGACCATGGTGCACGCCCAACTTATATACAAGTGAATTGACGGAGAAACATGTCAGAAGCGAAGGGAATGTATTTGGAAACTAAAAGATGTTCAAATGCTTTGTTGTTTTTGGATAATACATATACGTAAAAGGAGTTTAAAAAGATATCTCTCTTAAGTGCAAAAACCATTTCATGCTAGCTCACAATTCACATAAGCGAATAGTATTGGGTGAACGCATGGTACAAAAGAGCAAAATATCAGTGCTTGCATTATTACCTTCCCCCCTCTTTCTTTCTTTCTTTCTTTCTTTCTTTCTTTCTTTCTTTCTTTCTTTCTTTCT